TTACTCTAATAATTTTCAGCCGATATTGTCCTAATACGGAAAAGTAAATGTTGAGATGTATGAAATTGACGTACCAAACTTTCGCCAATTTAAACGTTGAGACAAGTATAGTTACGTCAACTGAGGTCGGCTTGCCTGGAATTTTGGAAGGTCTGCCGCCGCATATAAACTTTTGAAAATTATTTAGGTGGTCTTTGTGCTTATTTCAATTAAACAAACCCGTACGAAAGGTTAAAAAATAATATCTTTATAAATTTTATACTATGTAACAGTTTTGCCATAATTCCTTATATAATTCTTCTTCATAATTCTTCTCTTAATTCTTGCTGTGTAGTTTAGGTACAAGTTACAAGAGGTTTGAAAGTCATGGTGTATATTAACATTTTGGTGATTGGCGAGGGGAGGTTTGTTTCTGGAAGTATAGGGACTTAGGTTGGTTAAATAAGGGATTTCGTTATGCCCAGTCTAGCTCTAATGTAGCACTCAGTCAGATATAATTGGATTTAGATATGAACTAATTTGCAAATGCTGTTCTTTGCTGATTGGACATCGTATTATCGTTTTGTTATAGAAATGAAACCGAATCACTTACTAATTTATATAATACTTGGAGCGAGGCCAGGCGGGATGAACTAGCCCAGGAAAAGTTGGCTAATGTGAAATGTTCAGATGGTAGAGGGTAAATTCTGAAATTGACGATGGGATAGAAAGTAAGAAGTTTGTAATAAAACTCCCTTTTCAATCTCACCAGATGGACAACATTACCTTTTTCGGGTATAATCCTGTTTTAGTAGGCTCGTTTTTTTTACTCGAGATCCTTTTCGATTGCAAAAGACCCTATTTTCAGCCCTAGGATAATATTCTTTCCTAAAAATATAGCTTATAATTCCAGATGAGGCGGGGTGTAAAATAATTTAAGTACGAGTGGTCAGAAATAAATAATTTCCTCCGATTTTATGCTATTGATATGATTCTCTAACAAATTTTGGATTTGATAATATTCAAATTTGAATTCTAGGATCACTAAAAAAATACTGTCGTACACTAAGAAGTAAGAAGAACAGATAAAAATTGTTGATCAATGTTTTAAACATGAAAACTGATAAATATTTCGATTTTATTATTGTCTGAACATTTATTGACATTTCTAGACATGTTCTGCTAGATGTAATTCATAAATGTAAAAAAACTAATGTTTAAGTTTTCTTTTGATTGCCTGCATAAATTAATAAATTTTAACAGTAGTTATCAGTAAAACTGATTTCTCCAATCTAAACAGAGAAGCGTTTTAAGAGGTAAAAGGGAAAACAATGAACAACATGCGTTCAAAATTTCGAAAGTATAAATCAATAAGTGAGCGTACAGAATAATTAATTGTTCATCCTTTTCATAATTAAAAAAATTAAAGTTATGATATAAAGTCTGTATACATAGCTGGGTACAATTACCAATTAAATAATCCACGTATTTTTCAACTTGTCAAAGCTATTACTGTGGAAAGCAACCCTTAATTAAAAATCTATTGCACATGCTGCGGGATATGACAAATTATCACGGTATTCCATTACGTAAGAGAATTTCAGTTCTATAAATCTAATAATCTGATATACGTGTAATCAAATAAATAGTTTAAACTTTAAAAAAAATTAATGGTACCCCAGACTTTTGAAAAAATCATTATACAAATGAACCTTTGTCTTACCACTAAGATTTCAAAATAGAAAGCTTACCTTTCAGTAGATTCTCATTCACTGTCCTCCTTACTACTTCGTTGATTCAAAGCTCTAATGTTTAAAACATCAAATACCAAAGATGAGCGTTTGTAAAAAAAGATTAAATAGCGAAAAAATGTCGAAATTTTATTCTGGTATCAAAGATAAATTTGTTTTATAAAAAACAATTCATATAAGTGGCTTTAAGATTTACAATTATTGAAAGATCGTTTAGAAAATCTTTTTCCACCAAAAAATAAAATCTTTTACTTTAAAAATTAATTAGAAATACAAAATATTTTAAGCATAAACTTCACTTTTTAAAATTATAATTAATTATAAATGTATACTCTAAAGAAGCTTATGTGCCATGTCCCCAGACTCCAGACGGGCTTAGGTGTACTCTGCGATTATCTTATTTTGATAAAACGTTTCCTCTCCGTCCTCAGAATTTAAAAGAAAGAGAATTTATAAATACTCAATTAATTATACAAAATTTTTCTTTTCGAAAAAAATTGTGTATAATTAATTGAGTATTTATATATTTAATAGAAGCTGATAAAATTTAGTATAGAAAGAGAATTATTAAATAGTGCTATTTCCGTTGGTTGTGTGCTATGTTTCAGCGAGATTTCGACTTAACCACGTAGCGCACCAAGGTGAAAAATTAAATACGTTCTATTTGTCTCTTTTACCTGCGCACCAAGTTCATTAAATTTTCATGAAATGTAGGGTGATAACGTAGAAAAACGGCTTTAACGAGATAACGTGAGCTGAAATTTCAAAGGTCTTCGGCTAAATTCACAACAGGCGGGTTTCACAGATCTGACATTCTATCGGGTTGTTCCATAAACATTAAGTTTGTTAGACATAATTTGATTAAAATAAACGTTCGCAATTCTACATTCAAATTTGCCTGTTGAGCAGATGATACAATTAATTTGCTCTCATTTACTTTCAAGTCTGTTAGAACTGTTATCTGTTGCAGAAAGCTAGTAAATTGAACATTACATAAAGATATTTGATCGTGATACTTAGTTCATTTTGAATATAATTATATAACTGTGATAACACAGATTTCTTAAGTCAATAGAAAATTATATAAACAAAGATTTTTTTACGATAAAAAAAAACTAAACAAAATTAGGATTTTATTCCAGTCTTCTGGGAAATTAATGCAACTAGAAACAACTTACTTTATTAAATTTCGTTTAACTTCTTTTCAACTTTCTGCCACATCTTAGGAAAATTATATATTAATAAATGCTATAACTTTTTAATGATTATGTTGTCCGTCGTTTGAAATCATTTATTCCCGTTCATCATTTATTCAAGAGAACGGGTCATTTTAAAAGCTTACAAATATTTTTTCTTTCTATTTATATAACATTAAAACTGTTTGCACTTACTCTGTCTTTGTGAACTTTCTTTGATTTGTGATGAAAGCCGTTTTAGAGGTTTTAATTTAACATTAATTCTCTTTGTCAAACAGATTCATTTGCGGTAGTATTTTTTTAATATAATCGTTGAATTAATAACATTTTAATAGGGCTTTGTACTTTTTCTGTGTTTGTTCTGATGTTTTCTGTTTTCTCGGTCGGTTTACACTTAATTGTTTTATTACAACTGTTTTATGATTTGTTTTCTTCTAATTTAACAAAGATATCGTCAGATCTATTGATCAGAAATATAACTGTTAACAGCTTACATCAAATGTATGCAAATACAATATTCACTATTTCAAATTTGTTTGGAACAAAATTTATTTGAAATTTCAAAATTGAAACTGTTTCAAAATGTATTTGAATTCTGAAATGATGCAATTTATAACGTATATCAAGCATACTAAACCTGTTTGTATGTTTATCTATTTTTAAATAATAATTGGTAAAAGTATTTTTTTAAATTTTATTTATTTGACATTTAACACTCATCGTTTAATAATTTCTTAGTTTGGTCCAAAACTCGTGTTATGTTTCCGGCATAAAGAAAAAGGTAATGATAGCTCAAGTGGTGGAGCAGCGGCGTATCTAGCCGAAGATCGTGGGTTCGAATCCCGCTCGTGCCATTGACTTTTTTATCTAAACTAAAAACCTTAATTAATTGTAATGTATTACTTGGTCAAGCGGAGCACGAAATTAGTGAATAAAGAAAAAGGTTGCTCAATGTTTCACCTAATTTTTGGGGGCGCAGTTCAGCAGGCGGCGATTATCTAGGCCGACTTTTCCAATTCTAGGAGGAAACAGGGTGGTTTGTTATAGTGCTAATATTGTTGTGCACCTTAGTGGTATTTGAAATGAATGTATTTATTAGTGTGAATGTGTGGTGTGTGGTGGAATGTTGAGTATCTCATCCGACACCCAATTAGTTTAGTTAGGCATATAATAGTTGTAAATGGTGATGAAGGATAAACAAGTAAGATTGCACCTATTTTAAAACAGTGAGTGAGAATGAGAATGAGTTTTGATTTAGGACATGATTGGTTGTGAGCTGAAATATTCTAGCTGTTAAAAGCCTTTGATAAAACTGAGATCGGACCGCAGACTGCCCACAACCGGGGTGGAAGATTCTCAAGCCGAGCCGGTAAATCGTTGTAAATTATAAAAACTGGAATTGCCGGTGGATTGCAATAAATTGTAGGCTCAACTGTTCACGCGTTTATATACATGGGTAGGCAAATTTGAGCTTATATAAATAAGTAATCAGTTTCGTAGATCCACAGGTAGTTTATCATAGTGAATTTTTTTTTTTTATATTAAGTAAAGACCGCAACCGATGATTTTGTATTTTCTCATTTTCTTTGCCCCTATTATTCCTGTCAGGTACTGGATCTCTCCTATAATTTAGTTTTCATTCTTTTTGTGTTGAATTCCACACTGTCCGTTTATTCACTGCCAATCATTTTGCAAGGTTTTATCTACTTTTGTTACAAAGCCACTTTTACACAATCGCCGTGTATTGGCATGTATTTCAGTGGACAACACAGAAAATAGTCGGGATTTGGCTCGTATTATCAATGTAAGATAAGCATTTCATACCCTGGACAGTAAAACGTATTAACATGTAACAACAAATATATATATTCCATATTTATTCCAATATAGCAAATTTGTTTGTATGCTAATTAAAAATTGACTTTAAAGTACTTAATGTTTCAACATGTTTCGCCTTTCAAAGAATATTTTGATGATCCTTATTCAAAAGTTGGAAGTAAACCAATTAAAACTCTTGCCGGGAGAGTTAAACTTCAGATAGTGAACGCTAATGACTTTGATTTGTTTGTTTCAGAATGTCGAAGAAACGGTTCGAACGGGATGTTTTGGAATGGACCAAATTCGTTTTCGAAATGCTGTGGGGTGTTATTGTGACCGCCGGTCTCATAATAAAGGAGATTTTCGAACTAGTTGTCTCATCGAAATCAAAAAGTTTAGTCGGCCAACACGTCCTGGTAAGAGATTTTTCCATTAAACATTTAGATATCGGGGAAGTTGAAAACGTCCTCAGTTACAGGAAAGGAAACAGTAATCCGACACTGCTGACACTATGTCTACTGATAACTAATCTAAAACCCCTTCCCTTCCTACAAGTTTATTATTGTAATTTTAATCACTCTCTGCTGTAAGCCCCGTCTGAACAGTTGTAGCTCTTACAATAAAATTCTTTTTAAAAAGTAATTTTTATTTGGAGTCCATTTAATTCTCGACAGAACGCAATGTCAATTGTGTTCGGTCAACTACAGACTTACGTACAATGGGACTAAATGGAGCCGAAAGCCGATCAGAATTGCTATTTATTTCACGGGAATTTGATAGCCGAGGGAAAAAACCAATACTGACTAATAAAAAGTGAACTAGATTTTTCTATACTCTGTAAAATGTTATTTTTAAACCTACAAACTATATTTATTAGCAATAATATTATTATTTCTTAAAACAATACACACCCAAACATAAGAAAACTTTTAAATCAAGATGTTTCACTTATTTAATTATATGTGTAAATAATTGTTTATTGTTTGATATAAATTACATTTTAATTTGATTTTTTCTTAAATTATTAGTGTTTTGTTAAAATCGTCAATCCATGGAGTGGTAAACATATAGAAATTGTTACGGTATTCAATCGTGACTGCTTGTATTGGAACTCGAAAATGACAAATAATCGAGAGTAAAAAAAGTAAATTTGTGTATTATCAATTAATTAAGGTTTTTAGTTGAGACAAAAAAGTCGGTGTCACGAGCGGGATTCGAACCCACGATCTTCGGCTAGATACGCCGCTGCTCTACCACATGAGCTATTGTGACTTCGATCCACTCGGCCACTAACTTTCCACTTTTGAAAACTGGCAAAACGGAGGGAAAATTCAAAAGGTGGGGTTGAGATGGGAAGTTAGTGTCCGAGTGGATTGAAGTCACAATAGCTCATGTGGTAGAGCAGCGGCGTATCTAGCCGAAGATCGTGGGTTCGAATCCCGCTCGTGACACTGACTTTTTTATCTCAACTAAAAACCTTAATTAATTGATAGATATTAATTGTTCATGAGGACCACGAAAACTAGTGAATTTGTGTAGTAGAGCAGTATGTAAAAAAATTTACTTTCACTTGCTAAAGAAACCACTATTTATATATTAATATACGCCCACCCTCCTTGGCAAAATCATCTGAAATTTGCTTGAGTCTGCTTAAGTCAGGGCCGAAATCTGCTCGTCATACCTACGAGTGTGGATCGATACCTATACAAATTATATGACGACTAATTAATCTTGAAGACGACAATTTGTTGCAAATAAGCGATGAGGCGAGATCGATTTTTTTACTAAAAACCGATATTTGTACAAAGATTTGGGCCTTTAACTACACAAATAAATTGCAGTGAAATTACTCGAACGAAGTAATGTTTCACTCACAATTACACTGGTACATCGTAAACATGACTCACTACAGATCATTGTTTTATCATAGTTTGTCGAGGTAAAAATAGATATTTAAATTAGATATTCAGGAGGTTCAATAGTTACTCTGGCTAGTAGAAAGGAAGCGTTATAGAGTGGGGTTACAGATTATGCTGAATACAGCGTGGTTTGCTATAAGATGCACAAACCATTGGGTAGATAGTAGTCTCTAAACAATGCCCTGCAAATTGGTTGTCTTACCTGTTTTTGGTGTATTATTCATCAAAATTGAAGTCATTTTTTAAAATTGACGTTAAATTGTTTCAATAATGATTCTTCTACTGAACCTATTCGGACCAAATGATATCGCCGTTTCGTTGGTACAAACCAATAGAATTTGATTGAAATCCCAAACAGGAAGGTCTTTGAAGAATTTTAAAAATTCACCACAGATCCCACAGATTGGCGAATTTCACAAAAACTGATAGTTGACAAGGTTTTGAATGATGTGCTTAGTAGGATCAGTGCATTCTTTTTTACAGGAGTATGGTTGATCCCCCACCAAAAAAAAGTATCATTAGAAAATCAATATTTTAAGCAAATGAGAGTTTCATTCCTATTGATGACAGCACAGTTTTATTAAATGAAAGACAATTCACTCAATACGAAAAATTTAACGATTCCATTAGCAGGGTTAAGCAAATAAAAGCAAAGCAGGTTCGAAGTATACCTTGAAACAGTTTTTATAGTATTCCTCAATCTAAAGAAAGTTTTATCAAATTATAGTAAATTTTTAAAATTCTTGAAAGCTCTTCCAATGTTCAGATAGTATACGTTTTTTCCAGCCAAACGGCTAATAGTGTAATTAGCTAGGCAACAACTGTGCGAACTTCAATAAGTTACATGGATAACGAGATAATTCAAATTGTAAGAAAAAAAATGAGTGGAGTTACAATCCAGTGATAGTGTTTCCTAAATAAAATCGTGATCCTAAATAAGTATGTAGTACTAAATAGTAGTACAAGTAGTAATCGTTGTACTAAATAGTAGTAATCCTAAATCACTCGCATAATCTGAGATCAGGCCACGGGGCCATTACCATTTTAGATGCCGAGGAGATTGTTGGAACAGTTCGGGAGGAAAGTAGCTGTATGTGGGGATTAGAGTGGGATTGTGGGTAAGGCTGGAACTTTTTGTTACCGGATTTTACAGTTTCATTTAAATAGGAAACATTTAAGTTTTTATGTTTGGTTAGAAACTTAGACCGACGTTCACGATAAATTAACATTCGTGATTGCGAGATCAATTATTAAGGATTGTTTGAAACCAATAAGTTCTATGATGTTTGTCCAAATAAATTTCAGCATTGAGGTTTATATTAGTGTATGGATGACATTTTCGGTGGGAAAGTAGGTGAGAATACAATAAATTGGAATCAAAGGTGATACGACGAAGAGGGTTAGGTTTTTGGGACTTTGTAGTGTTAATTTTTGATTAGCCATTTTTTGAATCATTGTCCAACGGAATGAATATAGCTGTGTCTGGAGGGCTCGTTGAGCTGTGACGGAGTCATAATTAGAGGAAAGTACGGCAGTATCATCAGGGTGTCATGATAGTGACGTCGTGATGGAAGGGATAACAGCATGTACTGAGCACATTAGCGGGCCGAGGAAACTGGGAATTAGGACATTAGTTCTAAATTGAGTTGGTAATGAAAGATTTATTATCATAATTTTGATTAAAAGTGCGTAGAAACGGAGACCGAATGGCTGTTTTGGCGGCAAAAAAATTAAAAATCTATTTCTTCGGTGGAGTAAGTAAAAAAACGAAGCATTTTATCCCATACTCTCACCCAATTCATTTTATAGAAAACTACCCTGAATAAGTGTTCACGTATAAAAATGTATATCACGTTGTTTAAACTTTTCAATCGAATCAATATAATATTGTTTTATCTTAATTTCTTTTCACATTTAAAAACAAAAATATATTTAAAAAATTGCTTTAATTTTTGTAAAACTAATTTTACTCAGACAAAATAATTGATATATTTTTACTTGTTACTCGTTTGTAAATAGTTGACGAGTTGTTCTGTTTGGTTTAGTCAGAATATTTTTTTCTTTTAATTTGGGCGTTTTAACTGCAAATATAATCAAAAGAACAAAAAAATTAACATTTGCATAACGACGTATTTTTATTTTTCCAATACTTATATAAACTCATTTGATTTACTTTTTTACATAATAATGTTGACGATGTTATCATCTCGCTTTAAGAAAAATAGAGAAAAAACCTCGCTTTAAAAAAACCTTGCTTTAAAAATTTTTTTGGATATGATTCTTCTCTTGGCAAAGTAGTGCCGAAGTTTGTAGGAGTCTAGCTCGTGCTTTAATGTGCTAGATGTTACGTGTGAAAAATTTTGCGAAATTCAAAACAAGTGAAAACATTTATTTCCTGTTAATTAAAATTTAAATAAATACATTGCCGATCGATTGAAGAAATTTCGTTGTCTCCAAAAACTATGTTCGAAATATTTCTTTGCAAATAACTGCGAACAAGTGCGTTTTGGATGGTTGGTTTCAATGTCAAAATACATTTTCAACATATCTACATTGATGAATATCTTGTCATTTCAAATTATTGAGGTTCCATTCGTATCCCACTATGTTAGAGAGTTAGACAAAAACTTGGCTCATGAGAAACTCGTCAAAAAATATAACTAAGTGGCTCGGGTTTTTTATTTTGCTTTTTAAATTTTTTTTTTACAAACAAATGCCCTAATAAAAAATATAGGGGGAACAGAAGTTAACTCACCCTTTTAGGAGGTAATAAGAGAAACCCAACATGATGACAGATGACTACAAAAGTTGTAGTTTATTCGTTTTTCATTTCATGTACTGCTCAGTTTAAAAGCAAGAAACGTTTAAAAATGTTTTATACGGAAACTGGATTTAACATAAAATTTTGAATAACAGCTTAATTTTTACCCCTTTGGGAACATTAACTCCCAACCTGCTTATTTTACATAGATCAAACAAAATACAATTTTAAAAGAATAGAAACCAAATTAAAGTGTGAAACTAAATCTTACAATAAATCCCAAGCATCCGAACAAAACAATTTTCGGGAAAATAATTGCTTACAGAATGCCGTGATATCAAATGTTCAATTACAAAATAATGAGACTGCTTGCTTGCGAATTATAAACCATAACATTATGTAATTTCCAAGCGATGTTGGATATTTTATTTTTTGACTGGTTGACTGGTTACCCCAAACAAGCTAAATTTGGGCCGAAATGGTCGTGGTTTATTGCACTTTAACTTAAGCAACCAATAACCAAACAGATCATTGAGATTTGTCTCAAAACCAATAACGTCTTAGTTTTTCAATTTTCTACAATTGCCTTCTTCAACAATAATTTTTTTATTAAACTCACAAATTTCTATCTCGTTTAATTCGGTATACATTAAAATAAGTATGCTATACTTCATATAGTGACAAAAATACTTATAGTTAAAAAAAACTGATTGCATTATTTTTAAAGGAAATATAT